CCCAAGTGCAAATATTTTTTTGGGAAACAGAAAAGATAAATGGAAAACAAGTCACAGCTCCATCAAGGGTTTTAATGAAGCCCCCTGTCCAGCAAAGTACCTAAAGTAGAGATTAATGCTTCACTGGCCTCTCTATGTTATTTTAATGATGTGCTTAATGTGAAAAGATTTTCTGAAGCAGTTTAAATGGTAGTGGGGAAGGTGCATAAACAGCAGTTCAGTCAGAGGGCACTGAAAGGAATGCAAAGTTTCTCTAGAAAATGCAGAGAAACTTTCTCTGTGCTGTCCTCTGTATTTGGATGCTCCTTTGGGTGACAGGTGTAGAACCCTCATGGCACCTGCAAGGAATTTAGGGAGAGAAGAGTCTTGCAGAGGGGGTTCATGTCCTAATCCTTGTACATATTATCTGCTCCTAATGCCACAAAGCAGCGAGGAAGGTGAGATTTGCATAATGCTGATCACTTGGAAACCTGCAGTAAGCAGAAGTGCTTTTTGATTGCATTTCCCAGTGCAGCAGCAGCCAAATCTTTAGTTATTCAGGTCAGCTCTCACAGCAGCAATTGCACCTCTGCAAGGCCAGCTGGGGATACAATCACACTTGGAGGCAGAGAGGACAAAAAGCCATTTCTTTGGGTACATTTAAAGGCATCTGCACAGCCCTCCTTCCCCAGAAAGCTTTTAAGGTTTGTTTGGCTTCTGCTTGAGAGAGCTCAGCCTGGGGAGAGCCATGGCCAAGGGCTGGAGGGGCCGGGGGAGCAGGCCCAGGCAGCCAAAGTGGGATAGAGAGGGAAGGAAGGGAGGGAAAGAGCTGCTCTGGCAGTGCTGGCAGAGGGATTTGTACCCCCACACTGGGCATGAGCAGGGTAAGGTTTGTGCACAGCCCCTGTGCTGCCCAGTGAGCAAATGTGAGAGAGAGAGAGGAGCTCTGCCAGGTGCACCTCAGTGATGGAAGGCTTTGGGCTCAAAGCCCCTCTGCAGGCTGGAGTGAGAGCCTGTCCACAGGGGACACTGAGCAGGTGCCAGCCCTGAGGAACCAGCCAGTCTGAGCCAGTCCAAAAGGTCAGGCCCAGCACAGAAACCAGTTCTGTTCACAGCTGTTGGCACAGATTAGATCATGACTGTAGAGTTCTGAAAATATGGTGTGGGATTGGCAAGAGTGCAGGTACACCACAGCAGGGATTTTAACATTCCTTTTGTACACTCTATATTACTCTACATAAACCACCAGAAACAATGAAAATTTTCATTTAAAATTTTTTAAACTATTAAAATCGGGTTTCCATCACCCATGGAGGCAACTGCTGTAAACAGGACTTGGCCCAGCAAGGGGAAGGACAAAGCTCAGCTGCCAGCAGGGGCACAGTCAGAGGTGCAATGGCCATGGCAGTGGGCAGAGGGCTGGAAAGGTTTCACCCCAGGAAATGTCCCCCACAGGAGAACCCCACTTTCACCCCCCAAACCCTCAGTGCTCCAGGGCCAGCACCCTGCAGGGACAGGGGAGCACTGGGGCATGGGGAAGGGCCTTGGCCCTGTGCTGTACAGATGGGTCACCTGCAGGGCTGTCCCTGTCCTGTACAGGTGAGCAGGGTCACCTGCAGGGCTGTCCCTGTCCTGTACAGCTGAGCAGGGTCACCTACAGGGGTCTGTCCCCATCCTGTACAGCTGAGCAGGGTCACCTGCAGGGGTCTGTCCCCATCCTGTACAGGTGAGCAGGGTCACCTGCAGGGGTCTGTCCCTGTCCCCATCCTGTACAGGTGAGCAGGGTCACCTGCAGGGCCTGTCCCTGTCCCCATCCTGTACAGGTGAGCAGGATCACCTGCAGGGCCTGTCCCTGTCCTGTACAAGTGAGCAGGGTCACCTACAGGGCTGTCCCTGTCCCCATCCTGTACAGGTGAGCAGGATCACCTGCAGGGCTGTCCCTGTCCCCATCCTGTACAGGTGAGCAGGGTCACCTGCAGGGCCTGTCCCTGTCCTGTACAGGTGAGCAGGGTCACCTGCAGGGCTCTGTCCATGTCCTGTACAGGTGAGCAGGGTCACCTGCAGGGCCTGTCCCTGTCCCCATCCTGTACAGGTGAGCAGGGTCACCTGCACGGCCCTGTCCCCATCCTGTACAGGTGAGCAGGGTCACCTGCAGGGCTGTCCCTGTTCTGTACAGGTGAGCAGGGTCACCTGCAGGGTCTGTCCCTGTCCCCATCCCGTACAGCTGAGCAGGGTCACCTGCAGGGCCTGTCCCTGTTCTGTACAGATGAGCAGGGTCACCTGCAGGGCTCTGTCCCCATCCTGTACAGGTGAGCAGGGTCACCTGCAGGGCTGTCCCCATCCTGTACAGGTGAGCAGGGTCACCTGCAGGGCCCTGTCCCCATCCTGTACAGATGAGCAGGGTCACCTGCAGGGCTGTCCCTGTTCTGTACAGGTGAGCAGGGTCACCTGCAGGGCCCTGTCCCCATCCTGTACAGATGAGCAGGGTCACCTGCAGGGCCTGTCCCTGTCCCCATCCCATACAGGTGAGCAGGGTCACCTGCAGGGCTGTCCCCATCCTGTACAGGTGAGAAGAGTCACCTGCAGAGCCCTGTCCCTGTTCTGTACAGGTGAGCAGGGTCACCTGCAGGGCCTGTCCCTGTCCCCATCCTGTACAGGTGAGCAGGGTCACCTGCAGGGTCTGTCCCTGTCCTGTACAGGTGAGCAGGGTCACCTGCAGGGCTGTCCCCATCCTGTACAGGTGAGCAGGGTCACCTGCAGGGCCTGTCCCTGTCCCCATCCTGTACAGCTGAGCAGGGTCACCTGCAGGGTGACACCACCTCCACCACCCCCTCTGCAGGGGAAAGGCACAGACACTTGGCAAAGTTCTTCAGTCCCTGAATTTGTGCCCACAATCAGGCACCACCCCACCTGTGTCATGTGGAAGACAGATGGGGAGGCGTTTCCCCTCACACTTAAAAAAAAAAATAATTGCTTGATCATAAATAATGATTATTTTGATTGATGAATCATTTGGACTCATTTTAGGTCTCAAGTCATATTTAATAGTGCTATAATTGTGGCATGAGGAATTCACTCCTCAGTCATGTATGTTCTTGTTAGAGCTGGAGCAAGTTTAATTATTATTTCTTTTTTAGAAGGACAATTTAAATGACAGTCAACCAAGAATATAGAAAAATGTGCTGATATTAAATGACTGTGACCAGTCCTTGTCTCCTCATGCTCTTTCACACACACAAACACCAGTCCCCCTGCCCAAGTGTGTGAAGCTTTGTTTTTACAGCCCAAACAACAACACTTGAGTAACCTTTCGCACATCACTTGTGTAACCTTTCACTCTGAAGTTGGAGTCTTTCTTCAAGTGCAATCACACTTGGGAGGTCAGGCCAGACATGTTGAGCACAGGATTTCAGATAAAAAGAGAAATGTCTGAGATAATAAAAAATGTGCTCCCCCTCCAGGGAGAATTTACAGAATTACTTTTATGATCAGAAATAATTTATTGATGGGAAATGAGATGCTAGGTAAGGAAATTCACTGTTGGTCCCAACAGTTTGTCGTGTGAGTTGCTCAGGAATCTCCAGGCATGTGGGATCCTACGGCTCAGCTCAAGGAGAGCCACAGCAAGCAGGGGCCAGCATTTGGGTTCCTCAGGGGAAATGTTCATCAGGACCTCCTGAAGGTCCTTTGAACAGCCAGTGTTTGATGACAGGATGGGATATGACTGAGCCTACTCCAGTCAATGCTTCCATGGGGTGGAGAAGGAAATACTGATGTGTTTTCAGGCATTGGTGAGGTCAGAAGATCTTTCAGAGCCTGAACCATGAGAAATGCCAAGTGAGAGTCCCAGCAAGACACGGGATCAGCCTGGTCAGTCCTCTCCTAAGAGGGCTGGAAGACAGAAAAAAACTATTTAAAAAAAAAGAGGGAAAGGGCTCAAGATTGATGAGGTGGGCAATAGCTCATATTTACATATCTGGGGCCCTTCTGACAGCAGAAAAAATAAGTTAGCCCGAAAAATAGAAATCTAATCTCCATTCACTTCCCAGCTTGTCAGAAGGCCTCGGTGCAGAGCAGCCCCTCTTGGCTGCACAGGGGTGTCCCACAGAGGGACCCCACCAATAAATCTGTTTGATTTCCTGTTATGAGAAGCAGACAAAGAGATATGGCCAGGGATGGGCAGAGCTGTCTGCACAAGGGAAGAGCCTGTGCTTTCACCCCAGCCCCAAAGCCACCCTGTGTGAGGTTAGTGAAAGTTCAGTTCACTTTGGGGCTTTTTTCCCGTTCTCTCTCCTTTCGTGCCTTCCCGTGGGAGCTGCAAGGAGACAGGACAAAGCATTTCTTTCCTGCTGGCAACGAGCAGCCCTGAAAGTGTCACAAAAAGTTTGCTCTTGAGAGATTTCCAGTCTGAGGGTGTGATCTTGTGGCCCCTCCAGATGTGAGTAATGCCGTGACATTTTTAATGGCATTCACCGTGCTTGGTGAGAATTTCTTGGCATTTCTCTCCAAGTGTTTTCCCCACACCACTCTTTCCTCACTGTCTTCTCCCCTCCATCCAGTGCACATTACACACATAGAAAAGGAAAGATTCCAGGTGAAAAAGATGTTTTTTCCCAAAACCCTGAGGACCTGGTGACTTTCAAGCAGCTGCTTGTAAAGGTTCCTCTCAGGAAGGGACATCACCCCTCCAATTCCACTTTGCCACACTCCAGGACTGATCCTGATCCTGCAGCCAAGATGTGACCAAGAGATGTTCCATGGCATGAATTTTCCAGAATTTCAGCAGGTCCCCAACAACGCTTGAAAGGGATTAGGATGAATGTGGTAGCATTGCAATGTGTTTTGTGACATAGCACAACCAACACCCTTGTTTCTGTGAAGGAATATTTTCAGAACTGCTGGGAATTCCCTAGAACATCAGGAGCCTCACTGGATCATCACTTCTCCCAGCAAAATGTTTCAAAACCTTTTATGGATGTAAATTTGCTCATTTGAATTTTGTGGGGTTTTTTTATCTTTAGAGAGACCCAAGATCTATGAAAAGGAAACAGATTTTCATAAGGTTGTGAAGGTGGAATTGAGAAGCAAACACAAAATCCAGTGCACAGCAAGTGGGAATCCTGAGCCAAGGATTGAGTGGAAGTGGCAGCCCTGCAGCCTCACAGGCACCCTGTAAGTGACTTCCTTATGGATGAACATGCTCCTGAATTGTTGGGTATCCATCCTAATTATCTGAGCTAAAATCACAAGCAGAGTGAAGATCTCCAGGGTTCTGAGCCCAGCTGGTGTCTGGTTGTTTGTGCACCTTGTGTATTACCTGAATTGTGTTAAATAAGTTTAAAGGGATTAAACATCATTGAATTTTCCTTCACCTTGACCAGCAATGCCCTCTGACTTTCCTTAGCCCTGCAACACACCACAACACTGCTGAATGCTGTGAATATTTGACAAAGGAAATCCAGCAGGATGTGTGGGCAGATCTAACACACTTTTTCCAGACAAACCTGCTGAAGGCTTGGCTTCCTTAAATCCATATGGGATTCATGGCACTTCCCAAGGGCTGTCTTCACTCTGCAATCTGGGCTCAGCCTCCTGTGGTGTTCCTGAAGCTGGGGGAGGAATTGTGTCTTACTGGGGACCCTTCTGTGCTGCAGGCTGAGGTGTGAACACGCAGCAAAGTCACTGGGGCAAAGCTGCCAGAGAGAAAGGAGGCCAGGGAACACCAGGATGCCTTTGGGGGTTTGCCTGAGGAGACTTTCCCTTTGCTCCTGCAGCTTCCTGAGCACAGGGGTCTGCAGAGAGAGCCCTGGGCTGGTGCCCATCACTTCCCTGGTAGCCCCTGGGCACATGCAGGAGCCAGTTCTGCACAGTTCTGACACTTCAGCTCCTCCCTGCAGTGAGAGGGGTGAAATGAGCTTCTCCACCCTTTATAAAAATGAAGACAGATCTAGAAAGCAAGAGAGAAAATAACTGGATAGTGGATTGCTTATTTTCTCACTCATTTGTTGCTGTGAATGGCAAGCCATGAGACAGGAAAATCAGGATTTCTGTACAGCACAGGGATGTTGGGTGGTGCAGCCTGAGCTTGGGAGTGCTCAGGGAGGTATCCCCAGTTACTCTGCTCCTAAAGGAATCACCTCAGGGGTCTCATGGCTTTGGGCACTGCAGGGCAGCAGGAGGCACAGGGCTCTGCCTGGGAGGAGTTCAATGAAACCAGGGTGGAAACACCACATGGAAACAGCTTCTGCATCCTCTAGGAAAACCACAGAGGTGACCTGAAATCTTTTCCAGACCTCTCTGTCTAGGAGGAGAGAATTGGCCATGAGTGCTGAATTCAGCCAGATCCAAACCAGTGACCTGGTGGCAAAGGACCTCACATAACCCTTGCTGCAGCTTTCTGGCTCTCTGATCTTATCAATTTAAATACAATTGCAGAGTGGCTCTACCTCTGCTGGCCCCAGGGGCAGCCTTATCTTGCTGCAGCAGAAGCTGGAGGAGGATTCCTGTGGGAAATGACACAGCCCCCATTTCCTTCTGTTGTCTGACTTCCTCTCTCTCTCTCTTTCTCTCCCCCCACTCTGCCTCAGCAGTGCCCTTTGAATCCCTGAGCACCAGCATTGTTCCTTAGAGCTGGGATGTGATTTTACTTCCTCTGAGCTTTCCCCCTTCATCCTCAGGACAGGATTGTGCCTTGCAGGAAGTCCCTCAAGATCTTCTAATGAGGGCCCTCTGAGAGCACCAAACCCTCCGCTGGCCCAGGGTGTTGCCCCTGTGCTTTGTGTGGCTTTGGCAAAGGCATGGCTGATTTGTGGAGGGATTTTCTGCAGCATCAGCCCTGTCAAAGTCCATTTTACCTCCTGAGACCCCGTGGTGGGCTCAAAGCCTCTGCATTTCTAGCAATGAGAAGAGCTGTGTCTCTGCTTAGTGCAGTTGGATCTTCCCACGTGATGTGTTCCACACTCTGCTCCTTGCCCATCTTCCAAAAAGAAGATTGAAAAGTGTCTTCTGTGGAATGTGCAACATTAAAGGGGCCTTCTTTATTTATTTATAAAATATTTATCCCTTCTACTCCCTCAGCCCACACTTCCTGTTGGAAGCTGAGCACAGGCAGACACTCAGCAACATCCACCTCCCCTCAGTTTGGAGTGACTGGCATTTTGAATTTGGAAATATAACTTATATTAGCCAGATAAAACTCACATGATTTAATTAATTGCCCAGTATTTTCCATTTCTAATCTTTGCAAAGATTGGGGAGTTCATTGCTGGTCATGCACTGATTTTGTTTGCCTCTGTCAAGGTGCCTTGTAAATAATTTGGAAATGTTGCAAAGAAGGAATGGAGGAATTTCACAAAGATGTAACAGACTCCAGCAGCAACAGTTCTTAGGAGTATTTAAGACCAAAGATTATTGTCTAAAATTGACATTTTCTCACTCCAATACACCTCCCTGCTTACCTTGAACACCATCTCTGCTTTTCCACCTCCAGGTGCAATCCTGAGGGGCCAAAACTTGTGGTTTCAGAGAACACAGTCATAGGAAACAAGATCAGGAGCATTGAGAACATCCCCATGAGGCAGGGGGATAAACCAAAGGTATGTGTGGGGTGGGATGGGATGGGATGGGATGGGATGGGATGGGATGGGATGGGATGGGATGGGATGGGATGGGATGGGATGGGATGGGATGGGATGATGTCAGGGGATGCTCACCCCCAGCTCGTGGTTCCCAAGCTGCTGAGAATTCTTTGCATGCTTGGAATTCCCCAGTGCTGGGATCATCCCAGATCTCTGCTGTTTAAGTTCACAAGTGCTGAGGTTTGGGAATGATGTCACCCACCCTATTTAAACTCTCCCAAGGCTTTTGGGTCAAAATCTTCTGTGACTCCCTCAGTCTTGAGAAAGTGTGAGAATGGTTCAGTTCAAGGGGTGCCGTGATGTGAACGCTGATAAGGACTCTGAGTTCATGAAACACTTGGGGAGTTGTTGGTCCTGTCCCCCTTTGTCCTGTCCCCCTTTGTCCTGCCCCTCTTTGTCCTGCCCCTCTTTTTCCTGCCCTGTTTCCTCCACTCCCAGGTGTGGTCACAGTGCCACAGGTGCCTGCTCTGATTTCCAGTGTGCAGCTCTCAGCTTGAAGCCACTTCCCTGGAAGTATTAAGGAGGGAGAACCTTCCTTGGACACTTCCCTGCCTGCTCCCCCTTCCAACAGCCCTGGGATCACCCTGCCTGTGTGAATGCAGAGTTCCCAGCAGGATTCCCTGTTCAGTGTCCCCAGGTGCCTGTGGTGACACTGGCTGGTGTTCCACACGTCCGGGCTGGGAATGTGCTGTGGATTTGGGGCCTCCTGGCTCTGCTGGGCTCTGGCTGGGATCACCTGCTGGACTTGCAGTGGGTTTGCAGCTCCAGGTTTGGAGGTGGATGTCCCAGATGGTTCAGTGTCTGATCCTGCAGGGTGCTGGATCCAGTCCTGGCTCCCCTTTGAGCACAGGAGAATCCTTGAGTTAGTCCCGTGCTTAAAGTTAAGCACAAAGCTAAAGTGCTCTCCTGGCCTGGCTCCAGACTAAATCAGCATCTGGCAGGATCAGTGCCTCAGCCATCTGCTCTTTCTCAGGAGACTTTCCAGTTCTAAACATAATCCAAACCAGAGCTCTGAAAACATGGAGCTTGGGCTGGGAAGGAGAAAATCAGTGGTCACCTCCCATTCCTGAGTTTTTCCATTGCTGGGAGATATTTATAAATTGGATTTATTTAGATGGCATAGTGCCCCTTAAGCTCTGGCTTTAATGTATTCTTTAAGAATTTTACATCTTAGGTAAAAGCAACCCCCTAAAAGTGCTAATTATTTATAAAAATGGAGGTTGGTGACACTTACCTTCAAAGTTTCTTCTTTTTCTAAGACTTTTTGGTTGCTGCATGGGCTGACAAGAGCTTTGAGACTCTCAGAGCTACTGTTTCTCTCCATATATATATATAATCAACTTTTACATATTTCATTACTAAAGTTAGGAGCTACATAATTTTACAATTTATAGCATACTCTTTCTTTTTCTGCCTGGCTGAAAACACAGTCTGAGGTGCTTCCTATTAACTTTTATGTCCTGATTAAGATTTATTCAAATTAATATAACTAAATTCTAGGAATCTCAGGTTTCACTCCCTGCTTACATTGCAGACAGTTCCTCTCCTTCCCCCTTTCTGAAGTTCCAGACTGTGATAATTGGAGTCTTTATATTATAGGATATAATTTTTTTTAAAGTCTCTAAGGAAAAAGTCTTCAGACTTTTCCTAGAGTTTTATCAGTTGTTATTGCCATCAGGAATGGAACAGACAGGAACCAGCCCAATCCATTCCCACCATGTCCCAGCAAGTAATTCACCTACACTGACCAAGGAGATGAAAAAATAAAGATGCTGGAGGCTGAGCTTTCAGGAGCTTTGTCAGGAACTGGGATTAGCTGAGGTTGGGGATTTTCCTGTGGGATTTGAGCTGTCCCATGGGCACTGGAGTTCCAGAAGGTGGAATTCATCTGGGCTCTAGGATTTGTCAGCACCCAAGAGTTCACCCTTGGGAGCTGAGGCAATAAAAGCTGGTCCAGCCACATGTGGAAACTTGCATTAACTGTTTAGAGCTGCTAAAAATATGGAATAACTCCCCTGGAATCACCAGATCCAGAAGTTTGCCCAAAGCAAGCTGGCAGGGCAGCTAGCACAGGTTTTTCCTGCAAACCCCTGGTGCTCTTTGATCACATGAAGCTCTTCAGACATCTCCTGACAGAAATGCCATGTAAAATTGAGCTCTCCTGCCATCATCCTCATCATGATTATTCCATGAGTATTCCACAGAGAAGTGGATTTCAGCTCCTCCTGCCTTCCTAAGCCTGAATCTCACTCCTGAGGAGAAGCATGAGGTTATGGTTCAGGTATTGATGCACTTCAGTGAAGTTTTGGTCCAACAGTGACCAATGACATGGTCACACAGTTGAGGCAGTTGCACTGTGATAGTTTCATTTTCCCTGGGGTTTGGAGTCCACCTTGAGCTCCTCACTTTGGGAGTTAAAGCACTGCAGGGCTCCTCTGAATCTGCTTTTTCACACCAGGTGTAACACCCGTGACTGCAGGAATTGCCTGACTTTTCAAGTCACAAGGAGCTAGGTTGCTATTTTATTTTCTTTCCTGTTAGCAAAATAACAAACTGGCCTGAGCTTGGGACCAGGAGAAGGGAATAGCAAGACTCATGCATAATTCAGCTCTCTCTGGGGGGTTCTTTTCATCTCTTTTCTCCCTTTCATGTCTATATGAGAGTGGCCAGGCCACGTGGGTGTTTCTGCTGGTGAAATTCACAACCGCTCAAGAAAACTGACCCAAAAATGCCAAGTTTAGACCTCCTGAAGGAACAAAAAGTCTCCATTAGAGCAGTGGGATGTGTGTGGTGAGAAGTGTGTGAGCAGCTCAGGCAGGCTGTTCAAATCTGTCACTTCCAGGAGCTTCTCCAGCCCTGTCACCCCAGGCTGTGCCAGGAAGGGGACAGCACAGGGACAGGGCTGGGACACTGCAGCCACTCCCTGGGGTCAGCCCAGGTGTGTCAGGCACTGCCCAGGCACAGGAGCTGTCCTTGGTGGGTCTGGTGAGAGCCTGGCCAGCAGCAGGGACAGCAGAACTGCCCTTTGTCAAATTCCCTGACCTCCTAAATTCACAACCACTCAGGAAAACCGACCCAAAAAATGCCAAGTTTTGACCTCCTGAAGGAACAACAAAAACAAAAACTCTGCAGTCACTGGAGGAAGGAGCAGGGGTGGTGATTGCTCAGGACCAGGCAGGATTTACCCACCTGCTCCAGGGGCTGGAGGGTGATCAGTCCCTTCAGGCCACAGTTAACCCCAGTCCCCAGCCCAGCCCAGCAGCTTCCCTGGCCTCCCAGCTCTGCTCACCCCGAGGAAGGCACTGGCTGCTCCCCTTCCCCTTTCCCAGCCCCTGCCAGAGATGGGAGCAAGGCTGGCAGTTCTCAGGCAGCCCCAGCCTCTCTCCTCACTCATGCTCAGCCCATCCTTTAGCATGTTTTGAGTGAATGAACTCCAGCCCTGGCTCAGCACTGTCAGGCTGTGCAAACAAGTGCTGTGTGTGCCACTCCAGAGGATGGATTAGCAGTGAGCTGAGTGCTTTCTGTGCAGGCTCCCTGCTCAAGTTCTGTAATTCCATCTCCCTGCAGCCACCTCCAGCCCAGCCCTGCCACAGTCAGACAGCTGAGAAGTTTTCCACCCACGTTTTGCTCTCCTCATCCTGCCCACGGAGAGCTAACGAAGTGAAAGAAGAAGGATTGTTAACTGCAGCTCTGGGGTGGGGAGGGGTAGACAAAGGAAAGAGAAAGCAAGCAATAACAAGAGATATTAATTCATGCTGGCTCCAGCCTAAGAAAGGTCTCGTTGCTCTGTCCTTACTACAAGATGTCTTAAAACACTCACAGTGCATGGCTGGGGAATGTTATTTGGCTGCTTCTAAAATAACTTATTTTTATCAGTTTGAGAACATTACATATGGACTTTATTGAACTACTCCATCAGGAGTTTTCCCAGCAGCAAGCTCTATTTACTTGTCAGAGCTGTTCTTCAGAAATCATTCATTTTATTCCTTTGATTATTGAGCTTTAAACTTAGTTTATTCTTTCCTAGTAATTATTTATTAGCTAATAATCCCTTCCTTGGGCTCGCAGTATTGGGTGGCCTTTAGGTTAAGTCATAGGAAATGGAGTCCTTAATTCCAAATCCAGCCCAGGCAACGCAGGGATGTGTCTGGTTTGCAGTGAACTCCCAGAATCCCATCTAGGAAGATGTCTAGACACGACATGCCAATAATTTGTTATTAATTAGCCTCGTGCCTGCACTGCCTGCACAGGAGCTGAGGGTGGGACAGCCCCTTGTCACTGCTGCTCACAGGGCAGGGAAGCTGGAAACTGCACATTTCCAGGCTCTGAATAGTTCCTTGATGGCATTTTCAGTGCAGAGGCACAAAATTTTAAGGCAATTGCAGGTTTCCCATCAATCATTATCCAGCTCAGCAGAGAGTGCTGCACTCTGGGTTTTCTGAGAAGCAGCTGTGGGGTGAGCCCTGCCTTGATCATGGACTCAGTCCCAGAGGGGTTTGGGGTGTGAGGGACTCAGAGACCCCCCCAGTGCCACCCCTGCCATGGCAGGGACACCTCCCACTGTCCCAGGTTCTCTTGGGCACTGCCAGGGATCCAGGGTGGGCACCTGTGCCAGGGCCTGCCCACCCTCACAGGGAACAATTCCCAATTCCCAATATCCCATCCATCCCTGCCCTGTGGCACTGGGAGCCATTCCCTGTGTCCTGTCCCTCCATCCCTTGTCCCCAGTCCCTCTCCAGCTCTCCTGGAGCCCCTTCATGCCCTGGCAGGGCTCTGGGCTCTCCCTGGAGCTGCTCCTGTCCAGGTGAGCACCCCCAGCTCTCCCAGCCCGGCTCCAGCCCTGCAGCAGCTCTGTGGTCTCCTCTGGACTCACTCCAACATGTCTCCAGCTTTTCTACCCTGGCTACGATTCCAGCAGTGGAAAATACTTCTCCAGGTGCAGAGACTGAGCACACACAGGGATTATCCCCTCAGAATTTTTCCACTGTCTGCTAAAGGTCCCCAGATTCTGGGATTGTGCTCCAACAGTTTGCACTGTTAATAATGGGAAAAGATCCCTGAGTTTGGGTGCTCAAGTTGAAACCATTTTTTCATTAAGGATGGCATTTATAAGAACAAAATCCTTATCCCAACCTGCCACTGTGACCAAACACACACAGCTTTCAAATTTCAGCTACCAAACCAACCAGGATTAGGTTAGTTTGACCACTGAGAACTTTACTTCAGATGTTGGAAAGATAACTGGGCTCCCAGACTGAGGGATTTACCCAGGAGCACACAGCTGGAGTGAAAGGTTGATATAGAATGATTGCAAGGGATTCATCTTACAAGAAAATCACTCAAAATCCTGAATTGCCAGCTCTGGGATCACATGTAGGTCTCTGCTGGGTGCTGTTGGTTTAAAAGTCACAGTTTGGAGGGCTCTGGGAGGTGCCAGCTGTGGGCCCAGGCAGGGAAGTGCCTGATCTCTGGAGCCAGGTGTGTAAGGGTTTGGGATCCAAGTGCACAACAGTGACCAGAGCATCCAAACAAGACAATTACTTTCTCTCTATTCCTCAGTAGTTTGGTTTGGGTTTGTTTTTTTTCTCTATTTCTCAGTAGTTTTGTTCCCCCGAGAATTTGTCCCCAGATTGTTTCCCACTGTCATTTACCATCTTTTTCACCTTCATATCTAGACACAACTGAGATTAGCTCCAATGAGGTCTCAGGATAGCTATTTGCTCTTTTTTTTTTCTTTTTCTGTTTTCCCACTGTCCTGCCAGACTTTTCCTGAGTTATGGAGCTGGAGATATCAGCATCTGTCTGTGTGTGTGCTCATGAGCATTTACCTCTGGGCCACCAAGCAGCTTGAGGCATTGCATCAGTGTTTAGAAGAGCCACAGTGTCACCCCTAACACTTTGGACATGTCCCAGAATGGATATTTTATGATTTTGCCTGGCTCTGCAGTGTTATCCTGCACTTCCCAGCTAGAGCTGTCACTTAGGAAGACTAATTGCTGTTAAAAGCTGTCCAAATGTATCCCGTCCTGTCCTCAGCACGTACATTTATATTGGCTTTTGCTCTTCCCAAACATGAAATGCTCAGCTCCAGCAGCCATGAGGAGGGGGATGTTGGTCCTGGTTCAGCAGGAATTCCAGAGTGCTGCTCAGGGCTCTGGACATGAGCTCCTTCCCAGCCCATGGCTCTGGGCCGCTGCTCCGGACCAGCAGCAGGAGGAGGAGCAGGCTGCTCCTATGGCCAGGCTGGTTTTATAGCCAAGGCAGAGCTCTTTTCACATCATAAATCACTCAGGACTGCACAGCTCTTGCTGTGCTGGACACCAGAGGGAGTTGGGTTTGCTGCTTTCCTTTTTCACCCCTAAATTTGGGGGTTCCCCATTCTTACCATGAAAAGTGAAGACTTTTCCACTCAGCCCTTATTCTGCTGCAAATGCTCACCATCAGAATGGCAAATGCACATGGGATCAAAACCTTTGGAACTCATTTCCCTGCAGGATTTAAAGTGCCAGCTCTCAGCAAATCTTAAATATCTCAGAAAATTCATCCCACACAGCTCTAGACACTCTCATAGAGCAGCTTTAGGAGGGGTAAAGGAATGTCTTGTGTGAGTTTAGTTTAGGATATTAAAAAGAAAGTCCAGAGATGCTTCTGTGCACTTCAAAGAGCTCTCTGGAGATAAGGACAAAGGGCCAGAGGGTGTTATAAGTTTTGATTCTCAAAGGCCTTAGAGAGGATGGCAAAGAAAGTGATATTTGTTCCAAATGTGAGGGCTCAGAGCTCCTCAGGTGAATGGCTGCAGGGGAAGCAGAGGAATCCTGCAGGAACATCTCTGTCTTGGTGGCTCAGGGCCTGTTTTCCTGCTCCCACTCCAAAGGAATACAAGGAATAATTAAAGGCTTGGTCTGTGGATGTTCCTGTGGGAGCCTGAGAGGCTGCACTGACAGGGACAGGGTACATGGCTGGGCCTTGGCAGGTTTAAGGAGCACAAGCTCTTAAAGGAGCTCAGCCCCAGGAGTGACAGAACCCCCTCCTGTTCTGGTGTGGTGAAGCTCAGGACAAGTGCTCCTTCCTTCCCCACAATTCTCCCTTTCTGTATTTGCCAAATGTTCCAGCCCTGGCAGCTTCTGCAGAGCTCCCTCCTCACTGAACCACTCCTGTGCAGCTCCAAGGAAGGGTTTGGGATCAAGGGGCTCCCAGCACAAAGGGGCCACATCATTCCCTCCCTTCTCTGAGGGGAAAAACAAAATGCTGCAATATTGTACCACATCCACAGGAATTACCTATGGATATGTGGATATTCCCCACACAGCCCAGAGCTGAAAAGCAGCAAAGGGAAGAGATGGCTGTGAGACTGTTTGAATGGGTCCTCCAGGTCCTTCCCTTCAGCTTTCTCCTTGATGTTGTCCCACAAAGACCTTGGCAGGTCCCTGTTTTTCATGGGTAAGACAGGGAAAAAGGAGGGTAAGGTTTAGGAATGAGGGAAGAGAATTAGCTGGGCTGAGATGCTGAGAGACAAAAACCAAGTAGCAGCACTTGTCTGGGACTTTCACCCATTATTAACTAGAAACAACTTTCCTAACAGCTTTTCTGCCCTCACCCACCCTCAGAGGCATTCCTTGTGTTCTCTCTGTGGGCAGGTGGTGAGCACCCTCAGCACGGAGGACAGCAGTGCCTCGGGGGTCTATTACTGCGTGGCTGCCAACAAGGTGGGCGAGGAGGAGCGGAGCATCGCCTTCTACGTGTCAGGTGAGCACCAACACCTCCCCACGGGCACTGCTGCTGCTCTCAGCTCCCTGGGAGCCTGCTGAGGGCTGCTTCAGGCTCCTGGCCATCCCTGTGTGTTGTTTTGTTGGAGCAGTCCCAGGCTCCTCACCCCACCCAAGGCAGGTTGGACGTGTCCAGCCCCGATGGCTCTTTGCCCTTTGCAGCTGCAGCCCCAAGTCCCTCTCTGTGCCTTAAAGCAGCACTGGTGACATTTGAGAGCTGTCCTTGGGAAACCTCTGGCAAAGCTGAAGCCTTTGTGGTGTTCAGAGGCCTGGAGCCTGTCCCTGAGCCGGGAGAAGGGTTGTTCCCCAAGGAAATCAGCAGGCACACAAAGGTGAGCAAGGCCAGGATGCAGCCTGGTCCAGGCTGGTGGCACTGTGACATTGGAGCCCTGCCTGGGCCTCTGCAGTGCCCTTGGTGCAGGGAGGAGGTTCTCCAAAGAACACAAATGCAAACAAATATCCACTTAACCTTTCAGCACAGGGATTCTTTAGCAGTGAGATCAACATCTACATCATGCTTTCAGGAGAGATGGCAGTTCAAAAGGAGAGGAGAGTCCAGGGACAGCCTCGTTCAAGAGCTCACCCAGAACAAACTGAAACGTTTCTGTGCTCACTTTCTGGATGAGTGGATGCTGGCTGCCAGGATTTGCATCAAAATATCGATTTTTAGAACAAAGAGTGCAGAAGTGTCCTGGAAAGTAAATGTCTGATTCTCACTGCTTGGTTCCTTGCCCATGAACAAATTGGGAGGGCAGAGCTCGCTCGTGGCAGGGATCTGCACTCCTGTGCCTCTCCTCCCTCCTGGCTTGTTTGACTCCATTGCTCCAAAGGAATCCAGCACCTTTCAAATCCCTCCAGCCAAAAAAGGGCTCACCAAACACTGTTCCCATTGGTGTTACACAATGCCAACAGAAAAATGCCATCCAACAATAATGAAGCAGGAGCCATGGAGGGCAAAGATTTCACCTCCATTAGAGGTGACAGGAGACAGGAGAGGCTTTCAGCCTCCAAAAGATATTTCTCAACATTGTAATTCTCATTTACTCAGGGAAATGCCCTTCAAGGTGCATTTTTGGGAGACACAGCTCAGGTATAAGAGGACCCTAAGATGTCCAAGGCAGGCTGAAGACCAGCCATTAATTTTCCACCTCACCCCTTCCAAGTGTTGTGTCCTGCTGGGAATTCTGCCAGCTGCTGTGTCTGGGTGGGTTATCCAACTGAACACAGAACTGCACACTGGTGACTAAACCCAAAGAAATAAGCCAGGAGCATAAGGTCAGATCCAAAGGGTTAGATCATCCATGCACCTTGCACAACTCCGGTTTATTTTAATTATAAAGTTATGTAGGGGTTTTTTTTTCCGCCCACAGTGAGGCAATATTTCAAATTTTTTATTTGAAGATCCATCTAGCAATGTTTTGAGACACAAGTGGTTTAATCATGCAGTTTGAATGATGAAGGAAATGAATCACTGGGTGAAATTACTGACAGTGGTTCTGGTGGGGATGTCTCCATTCACCCAAGCAGAGCAGGAGGTGAACAGGCAGATGTGTTCCAGCCTGGGAAGGAAAACTGGGAGTCTGCACCACTCTGGGGAAGAGGCAAATGCTGACCAAGCATGACTGGCTTTTGGAAGTGCTGTATTTAAAAATAGTTGTGTTTATGAATTAGAAAGGAATGAAAACTTTCTAAATGTGGCTGTCCTGGTGCTAAACTAGGTCATGCTGCAGCAGTGAGCAGCAGCAGTGCCTGCTGTGGGCTTCCTCCATGGAGGGTCCTCTCTGAGAGCTCCAGCAGGGCCAGGCTGTGGGCACAGCTCTGCAGCTCACCCTCACACCTGGAACAGCTGGAGCAGCTCCAGGTTACTCTGCCCAGGAGCTTTCTCCTGTCTCAGTGTTGAGGGACATCCAGGGATGGCCTGAGAGGCTCCAGGCAGAGGAGGCCCCACAGCACAAGGCTCTGAGCTGGTCACTTTATGGGTGTGAGGAGGTTCATTGTGGGCAGGTCAAAGCTCAGGGCTGAGCTGAAGGCTGGGGTAGAGCTTGAGAGCACGAGCCACATGTGACACTTTGGGGCATCTGGGAAATGTTTGTAGCATTTCACAGCTCTCTGCAAAGCAGCTCCAAGTGTGGCACCCCTCCATTCATTCAGCAATTTGCTGATTTTAAAGACCTGCTCTCCCCTTGTCTCCTACCAACAAACCAGCAGCTGCTCCTTGAGCTGCTTTCAGACCTTCTGGCTGAACTGGAATTAACTCACTTGTCCCTCGTGATAAATCTGAGGATGGCACAGAGGCTGAATTCCCTGAAATCCCTGTTCCACTGGGGCAGGGCTGAGATGTTTTCCCAGGACATGGCAGAGTGTTCCAGGGACACTTCCTCAGGTGTTGTCCAGGCTGCTCTCTGGGGATGTGCTCACTTCAGTCTGATGTTTTCACCACCACAACCTTCATTTCAGAAAAATTAATTTATCCCTGTGGAATAATTGTCAGCAACCATTTTGTTCTTCCACTGCAGAACCCCCACAAAAACTCCCACGGACACCAGAATTAGCACTGGGCTCTATTTTTAAATCATTTCTCTGCCAGCAGAGTTCATTTCATGAGGGGTCAGCAGGGTTTGGAGATCACTCAGAATCCAAACCTTATAAGGGGTCCAGAGTGATGAGAAATCTCATGATGCAGTGGCAGCCCCTCCTGCAGATGTCCTGGCTGTCCCTGTCCCTCTGCAGTCTCTCCTGAAGGCATTTATCCATCGTGTCCTGGCCCAACTCCTACTCCAGGATTTTTGTTTTGTGTCAATCCAATCAAGATTTGACCCCTGCCTGCCTTTCCCACCCCTGCTCTGACTGCAGAGTTCCCATTTAAGCCTTGGGTGAGCCACCAGATGCTCAGAGATGTCATTGTCCAGCTCCAAAGGACATTCCCAGCAGGCTGCAAACTCCCCAGTGCAGGGAAAAGCTGCCCTGGTGTCTCCTGCAGGGATTCTCTGCCATGGACAAGTGTCACTTAATGTCATTTAATGTCATTTAATGTCTAATCTCTGCTCTGCACCTTGGAAAGGGCAGCTCCACAGAGCTGCAGGTCCAGAGTAAATCAAATTCCAGCCTTTGTCTGACTGCACCGCGTTCAGCAAACTGGGATCCCACCCATCTGAAAACTCAGAATGTTCTGGGAATATAAATGAATTATGATAAGAATAACAAATAATAACCATAGCCCTTTTTTCAAGGGTTTATCTGATTGCCAAAACAACTGAGAAAAATGGAGTTAAAGATTTCTGCCCGAAAGAAAATATTGCATTTCCAGCAGGAGATAAAAATCTGCTCTCAGATAGCAGAACAATGGATGAGCTGGGCTGTTCTAGGAGTTTGTGCCACTCCAAACTGCTCATTCCCAGGTGTTGACAGGATTTCTGACAAGCACCACTGCTCCAGATAGAGGGGCTCCCCATTCCTGGTGTACCCCCCCTGCCAGGCCCAGGCTGGAATTTGGGTAAGAGCAGAAGTTTTGAATTACACAGATTATTGTGCAAAGCACAGGAAATTAAAAACAATTAATTCCTTGTAAATACAAATGGAGCCAGCCTTGCCTTTGATTTATGCTGCCTTTTTACCTCCCCCCAATGGCTCCTTTCCCTCTTTTGCCATGGAATCCCACACGGTGGAGAGGGAAATTCGCAGCTACTATGCTGTAACCCAACACCAGAGACAAATGTTTGGTGACTGCTGATAAAAGGGAAAAGGCCCCGTGGTGCATTCTTTCAGCCAACTTATTAGGAGCCTTCTAAAACACAGTATCTGTTCAGAGAAAGGAAGTTAATCACTGCTCAGGTTCAGGATTATGTAAGCAAAGCTGTCTGAGAGATGAACTGACTTGAAATGTGCTCTCCAAGCTGCACTCACTCCCCTGATAATCCAGGTAGGAGGAGAAAAGAGAGAGGAGAGCATGAAAAGATAGAGCAGAGCAACTTCTTTTTTCCTCTCTTTTTCCTTCCACTGCAATGAAAATTAATGAATATTCTATTGGAGCCGAAAGAGCTGCTTGAAAGGCAAACAAGATGGGAGAGAATAGCACAGGTTCCAGCTAAAAATATTCAAAATGCTAAATAAAAAATGTCAGGAGAAGGAATGATAAGAAAAACAAGCCGGGCCTCTGCTCCCAGAATGTTAAGTTGGTAGAAAAAAAAAAATAACCTGGAAACTTTCAAGTCCGGCAACAAAGCAAAACTGTGGAGCATCCTTCAAAACTCAGGGCTTAGGAATGGACACATTCCATTTATTGGGAATTTGCACCAAAATGCTGCAGCCCAAGCTGTGCCATGCCCCAGGCAGGCTTATCCCAAGGGATGCTGCACTTGTTCATGTTTTGGCTGGAGAGATTCAGGAGATGTGAAATGCTGCTCGTGTCTCACTGGCTCCCAGTTTGCCCTTTTGGGGAGGCCTGGGTGCCTCAGACATTCCCCCATGTGGATAAGCAGGATTTGGACATGTTGGAAGCCCAGGACATCAGGAGTGAGCAGTGTCACACAAGGCAGCCCGAGCACACAGCTGGCACCAAGAGAGAGCAACTGAGCCCAACAACACCCTGCAGAGAGCAAACTGCAACTCCAGCACAAGGAAATGAGAGAAAAATAACAATTTCCACAGCTGTGGCCTGAGGGGGTCTCTTCTCTTTTTGGATCTTTTGTGAAATATTTCTGGTGCCAGTCTTTAAAAACCATGAAGCAAAAGCTCATGGGTTCTACTCCAGATGACTTGGGAAGAAGAGAGACTTTTTAATCATCTCTGAAAGCTCCTCCAGGGCTCTGTATTTTATAGAATGTGTGCTTTATTATAAGGCAGATTGGTTATTTCAGCAGCCTCACTGTTTCTGCTCAGCTGCAGCTCCTGCAGAACTTTCTGCACTGGGAGCCCCTGGGCAGGTTCCAGGTGGAATGTGCAGATGGCAAATGCAGTGCACACTTGTTCTGCTTTAACTCCTGGCCCTCTCAGAGCCTCATCCTGGCTTGAGGAAGCATCTCACCAACAGCCTGGCACTGAATCATCTCTCAGATTTAGGGCAAACCTGGTCCTGCTCAGAAAGTGGCCCAGAGTGAGCCCTGCCAAGGGTCCCATGCCTGCTAACACTGATAAGAGGTTCCTCACAACTCTCAGTTGCTTGAAATCCTGACCTAACAGACAGCAGAATAATTCCAGATCACTGTGGGAATCCATGAGCTTTCATTCAGATGGACAGAGCCCTAAAATTCACAAAACCTAAAGGCAATAAAGTATCTTCCAGCCCCAGTGTACTTGCAGGTCTCTGGCAGCTACTGCAGGGCAAGCTCTGGCCTTCCACTCAGTTTTTCTTGTTTTCAAATGGATTCAGTTTGCCACTTCAGGGAAAATTGTTTTTCTTTAATTTATTTTTTTTCTGGAGTGAAAAGTTACTAAAAATGTACCAAGAAACAGCTCACTGTTTCATGGTCAGAGTCATGACTCAGAGTACTTCTCTGCTAAATATAAGGCCTCAAGGATTTAGACATCATTAGATCAGTTAATCCATCAGTGATCAAGTAAATATCCAGCATTCACATTGATGGAAATAAATATTGGCACAGTTGGAATAAGAGAGAGCTGAGGAGTCTGTTCAGTGGGGAAGAAGGTGTTGCTCCTGAGGGATGGGAATGGTTCCTTTATTCCTCTGCAATTAATACTTTCCAGCCCTGATTGTGGAGAGGGAAGAGCTCACAAACACATTCAGCTACTTGGATAGAAACAGCTCCTGATTAAACTCTCTCAGTCCATTAACTCCTTCTATTTATAAGCTTTAAATTCATTACTTTAGAATGCTGAGGGCTGGACTAGCACAGGTTAGCACTGGGCAGTGAGAGGAACTTTCACTTCCCTAATTCCCAGCTCCAGGGCCTGTTTTCACATTTCCATGACTGAGGGAGCTGGGGTTGTTTATCCTGGAGCAAAGGAGGCTCAGGGGTGTCCTCCTCGCTCTGCACAGCTCCTGAAAGGTGCCTGTGCTCAGCTGGGGTTGGGCTCTGTCTGCAGGAACTGACAGTCTCAAGGACTGCACCAAGGGAAATACAGGTTGGATGTTAGGAAGAAGTTTTTTACAGAAAGGTGATAAAGTTCTGGAATGGCTGCCCAGGGAGGTGGTGCAGTCCCCATCCCTGGGTGTGTTTAACAAAGCCTGGATGTGGCACTGGGTGAGGTGTTGGGGCTGGGTTGGACTCGGTGGTCTTGAAAGTCTCTTCCAACCTGGTCATTCTGTGATTCTGTGAATTCTATCCTCATTAAACCTGGTTTCTTCCATTGCTGCTAAGAATTTGACCCCTCAAGTAACAGCCAGGCAGCCAAAGATCATCTGAGCTGGGATTTCATTCCAAACATGTTTTCCCTTCCTCCTAGATGTGCCCTCTGGGTTGCAAACACCCTCCCAAGTCACAGCCATCGTGGGCAATGACGTCCAGCTGACCTGCCGGGCCTCCAAGTACATCTACACCCACCTGGCCTGGTACTACCCCTCCTCAGAGGCAGCTCCCAGCCACTCTGTGGTCAGGAAAATGGACAAATATTCCATCTCTTTGACCCTGCTGATTCCCAATGTCACGAGGGAGCAGAGTGGCCTCTACAAGTGCCGAGCCCAGAACGAGCAGAACAGCACGGACACGCTGGAGCAGCACAGCCAGCTCCTGGTCAGAGGTATGTGCCAGGGCACAGTGACACTGGCATGTGTCCTAACTCACACCCTGTGTCCTGCTCTGCTTTGCTTCTGTCCTTTACTCTGTGTGGATTGACAGCCTGGCATGGAGAACACTCACCCAGCCACTGCTGGCTTTGGATAAAATATCTGAGATCACATCAAGGTGATTTCAGCAGCATTTCTCTTCCCAGCTCCATACTGGGTGCAGATTTAGAGCTGGCTGAGGACTAAAAGCATCACCCACCATTTACTGACAGCACAACTGTAGCTTGGGATGCTCACCCCAGGTCTGTATGACTTTGGTACCCACTCTCAGCTGCCAGGATGAGATACCTCAATAGATTTGCACCCAGCAGATCCCAAATGTCCCTGGGCAAGTGTAAAATCAAGTGACATGTGCCATTTATTCTGGGTGAGAGGGATGCACTTTGTTATAACAATTATTTTCTTACTTACACCCAAGCCCCCAGGTCTTTCATTTCACTGAGATCTTGTGGGAATACAAAGGGCAGGACACTTCTGCCCATGGGAAGTCACTGAAAATTAGTAAAGTTTCTTCTGCTTCAGAGTGAAGAAGGTGGGTTATCATCTCTAAGCCACCTCAGAAGACAAAGGGCTGCTGGCATGGGGAATGGATAGATTTATTAACCACCTTCCAATGGTGAAGAAAACAAAAGCACAGAACTGGAGCAGAACTGAGACATGCAGCAGCAAGTCAGGGAGCAGGAGTCAGGGTGCTGAACTGGCCAGGGATTTTCAGGCTGGCTCCTGTGGCTCAGGAGGCACTGCAGGGTCCCTCAGCACAGCCCAGTGCTGCCCTCAGCCTTGGAGGGAATGGCACATTCCCTGTGCAGCCTCCCAGCCCCTTCCCTCCACACACAGATGCTCTGGTTCCAGACTGGCAGGTGATTTATTTCACACACAGACATCTCCCTTTTCCTGAGGCAGAGGGAAAGGGAAGGAGTCTCAGTCAGGTATTGGGCAGTGATAATGGTCTGGCTGGTCCCCACAGCACCAGGGCCACCTGTGAGCATCACCTGCTCTGAGGCACTGGCCTTGCTCTGCTCTCTGCATTCAGGCACTTCCCTTTCCTCTCCCCTGGCAGATATTTTTATTCAGTCAGTCAGATTCCACCTACACACACACCTACACAGCACAGCTATGGGAAAAACACAGCTAGACTGTGAATACATGCATGGAGAGCTGGAATGAGGATCACGTTCCTGTGAGGATGACTGGGGTCTGTCATCTGTCTGGCACGTGTCAGACAACTCTTGTGCAGAGCACACATGGAAATGTCCCTCCAAACAGCTTTCCTTCCCTTATTCAAACATTTTATATGTTCTAATGCCCCCCATCTTCTGTCCTCACTGCAGGTTTGGGGTATATTTTATGCTGTGTTTGTGGTTTTATTCATTGCTGTCCTGCACCTTTTATAAATGAACATAAAGTGGGTGTTACCATGGTTTGTAGTAAGGAGAAAACTGCACTCCTGATGGAGGATAAAAAACCTTTAGAACTGTTTCCTCTTTTCCCCCTTTTCTCCTTTTATGCCTTCACTCTGCATGTGCACCACCCACTCCCTGTCCTTTGTTTTCTTCAGAGGATGAGGAGTTGGAGCTACAGCCAAACCCAAGTGTGAAAATAAACCAAACTCACCCACTCCTCCCAGAACCTTTGGGGGGATTTTTGATCAATTGATCAATCAAACCTTCACCACATGCAGCCCAGAGAGGCTGTGCAAGGAGGGAGGTGAGGGAAGGGGCCCCCAGACCTGACTGGAGCTCTTTCCCTGTGTGGCTGCAGCGAAGGCGGCGCCGGTCGTGACCCAGAACCTCACGGACCTGGAGGTCAACATCAGCGGCAAGATCCTGCTGGAGTGCAAGGTCAGTGGGACCCCAGAGCCCCAGGTCAGCTGGAGGAAGAATGGCTACCCCATCTCAGCAGCATCAGGTGAGGTCCTGCTGCCCAGAGCTGTTTGGGCTGTGGGATAATGGGCTGGCAGGGTCACCACGACACAGCACCTACGACTGAGCCCATGACTCAGGCACACACACACAGATCCAAGGGTGCCAGGGCACTGCAGGGCTCTCCAGCTTGGACTCTGAGCTGGGACGAAGCTCCAGCCCAGCACACATTGGGATAGCACTGGGAAATCAGGAGTGCTGCTCAGGCTGCTTGTGTGGGACCAGAGCTTGGGCACAAAACTGAGCCCCAGGGTGCACCTGGGTCTGGCAACACAGGCTGAGCTCTCAGCTGTCCTGGCCATGACAAACTGCAGCAAAGTCACCTGGCAGAGGGGTTCAGGGCATCCCATGGCATATGAAATGTCCTTTATGTCCCTCAGCACAGTGATGGGAATGTGCTCCCAGCTCTGTGGGACAGAGCCACCATGGGCAGGGAGCCTCACCTGAGCCTGCAGCCCCTCCCCTGAGCCCAGGTGCTTTCCCAGCTCTGTGCCATAGAGTCATGGGGTGTGCTGAGCTGGAAGGGACCCACAGGATCATCCAGGCCAGTCCTGGCCCTGCCCAGACCCCCAGCAACCCCACCCTGGGCATCCCTGGGAGCATTATCCAAACCCTGCTGGAGCTCTGGCAGCCTCAGGGCTGTGCCCATTCCCTGGGCAGTGCCAGCACCCTCTGGGGACAGAACCTTTCCCAATCTCCAGCCTAACCCTGCCCTGGCCCAGCTCTGGCCATGCCCTGGGTGCTGTCCCTGTCACAGGGAGCAGAGATTGGAGCTGTCCCTCAGGAAGATGTTGGAGAGTGCACTGAGGTCTCCCCTCAGCCTCCCCAGCTGAACAAACCAAGGGCCCTCAGCCCCTCCTCATGAGACCCCTCCAGAGCCTTCCCCATCCTCGTGGCCTCCTGTGGATGCTCTCCAATGGCTTCAAGGCTGTTTCATATTCTGGTGCTCAAAGCTGCACTGGAGATGAGGCTGCCCCAGTGCAGAGCTGAGTATGGCCTGAGCCCTCCCATAAATCATGGAGAATCCCATGTCAGCAGCTGGTCCCGTGACTTTAATTTTGCAACTTGGACTAGGTAGGAAATCTAGGATCATCCATAATTCAGATCAGAATGTTCTGAGAGAAACTCTTTATAGCTACTGAAATTTTATAAATAATTCTAGAGGGACAAGCATGTAACTCATCCAACCAATGGAAACATAAATAAAATATTTGGAAAAAACACCTCAGGGTAAATATTTCAGCACAGTGCATGGCAAGTTGTGTGCAGTATTCTTGTTAACAAGAATGGGATGCACAGGCAGAACACCCAGAAATTCAAAATGTCCTTCCCTTTTGGATTGCAAGCATGACCTGCTTCCCTATTTCTCCCCCAGTCATCCCTCAGTGAAACAGGAGAACTCTCAGTGCAGTACCACCAACCAGGAAAAATGAAATTGGGAAAATTAAACATAGAGAAGTCTCTCATAGGTCATTTCTAGGCAACCTCTCTATTCCCACAGCACCTGGCTGCCTGTGAATCCAGGATTGCTTCACACCATTATTTTTCCAAGAAGTTCTAACTTGAGTTCCATCCTCCCCATGTTAGAAGTCCCATCCCTTCCCACAGCCTTCAGGAATTCCACTGAATTCCCATTTTTCCAAGTGTATTTTCCTGCTATCAGCCACCAATCCTGCATCCCTCTTCTAACTTCTGGATTTATTTCCAGGCTCTACCCACTCTAAATCAGCAGCCACATTTGGTGTTGTTTAAATGACACCAAATAATTTATCCAGATGTTGAAGAGGAAAAAAAAGTCAGAGAAAGGTTGCCAGGATTAAAATGTGTCCTCACACCAGAGCCTGCATGGATGGGAGCTGACCTTCAGCTCTGTCCCCTAAAAGCATTTTTGGCAGGCAGGTTATTGTGCCAGCACTAACCAGAATGCCTTGAAACAGGAATTTCCATAGAAAACAACACGCTGGTGATTGAGAGAGTGAAGAAGGACGACGAGGGGCTCTACGAGTGCCGGGCCTCCAACGAGCTGGGCCAGGACAGCACATCAGCCTTCATCAAAATCCAGGGTGAGCCTGGCCTGGGGCATGCAGAGTCCCACAGGGCTCCCTCAGCGAGTCTGGACACTTTTCTGAGCTGGCTGTGCGTTCACCTGCAGGTTCTGAGGAGAAATCCAACATTGAGGTGATCATCCTGGTGTGCACAGGGCTGGCTGCCACGCTCTTCTGGCTGCTGCTGACCCTCTTCATCCGCAAACTGAGAAAGGTGAGAGAGCTCCCACCCTGCACAAAGGCTGGCACCTGTCCTATCTCATGGGGACTCCAGAGTTAGGGACAAATCTTTGGGGCAGATGGTGGAAACACCGGGTAAAATGCCCCTGTACAATTCATTCCATGGTTTGTGTTGACTTCTCCAGAGAACCCTTGCACTTGTGAGGCTTCCAGCCACTTGTGTGGAATCATAAATTCAGGCTCCTCCCTCTTTATGAGTCAAACTGGCTTGTGAGAATAACAAAAAAATACCCTAAATCCTCTAAAATGAGGGCTTGATTTCAGCACTTGACTCTAAAAGATATTAAAGAAAGATCCCAGGCTGTCTGCTCTAGAAATCAGCTCAAAGCACACAGCTGATTTGATCTCCTTGCTTTTTTTTTCACCTTCCTTTTGTGACTCAAAAAGTAAACTTGCAGTAAAGTTTCAAGGAATTGAGGTCTGCTTTCCTGAAACAAGCAGCAAAAAAAAGGCAAGCACAGCTCCCTGCTCTGCTCTCACCAAATTGCAGTCCCAGTGCTGATCTCCAATATTTGAGCAAAATTTCCCCTCTTCTTGAAAACACAGGGATTAAATTCACGTTTTCATCCTTGACCTCAGCTTGGCAGAGCAGTGGATAACACTGAATTTCCTTTTAAATGTCATTCCTGTTCAAGTCTGCTCACAGAACCCACCCAACCACAATTTTTCACTTTAGCAGCATCAGAAATAGCAATTTCCAGCAATTTTAAATTGCAATAAATTGCAGCCATGAAGTGGAGAATCAGCACTGCAGAACCAAACACGGTGACAGTGCCAAAATATGCAGGAGGAAGTGCAGCTCCTGCAGTTCCCATGGAAAATCAGTGATTTCCTTTGGCTGATCCAGGTAGATTTTGTGTTTCCCAGCATCAATCAGCGCCTCCTCCCAGGAGCCACAGTGGCAGCCCCACACAAACATTTGTGTCTCAGCTGCAGAACAGAAGCAGGAAGCTGCAGTGATGCATTCCTGGCTCGGAATTAACGTGCCTGCAAGGCAGGGAAGTCCCCGGGCTGCCAGACAGCTCCCTCCCTTCGGAACTGCAGTGAATCCCCTGAATAATCTCTCCCCGCCCTGTTTTTAGCCCGATGCCACAGACATTAAAACAGGATACCTGTCAATTATCATGGACCCCGAGGAGATGCCCCTGGACGAGCAGTGTGAGCGCCTGCCCTACGACAGCAGCAAATGGGAGTTCCCCAGGGACAGGCTGCGCCTGGGTGAGTGCGGGGGCACACGGGGGGCAG